CCCACCTACCCACCCACCCACCTACCCACCCACCTACCTACCCACCAACTACTGTACGTCGTGTAAACACGTGGTGAACATGTGTCTCAACGTCATCAAGGTACCCACCCACCCACCTACCCACCTACCTACCTACCCACCGACTACTGTACGTCGTGTAAACACGTGGTGAACATGTGTCTCAACGTCATCAAGGTACCCACCCACCTACCCACCCACTCACACACCCACCCACCTACCCAGCCACCTACCCACCGACTACTGTACGTCGTGTAAACACGTGGTGAACATGTGTCTCAACGTCATCAAGGTAGCCACCCACCCACCCACACACCTACCTACCCACCTACCCACCCACTCACCTACCTACCCACACACCCACCCACCCACCGACTACTGTACGTCGTGTAAACACGTGGTGAACATGTGTCTCAACGTCATCAAGGTAGCCACCCACCCACCCACTCACCTACCTACCCACCTACCCACCCACTCACCTACCTACCCACACACCCACCCACCCACCGACTACTGTACGTCGTGTAAAACACGTGGTGAACATGTGTCTCAACGTCATCAAGGTAGCCACCCACCCACCCACTCACCTACCTACCCACCTACCCACCCACTCACCTACCTACCCACACACCCACCCACCCACCGACTACTGTACGTCGTGTAAACACGTGGTGAACATGTGTCTCAACGTCATCAAGGTAGCCACCCACCCACCCACTCACCTACCTACCCACCTACCCACCCACTCACCTACCTACCCACACACCCACCCACCCACCGACTACTGTACGTCGTGTAAACACGTGGTGAACATGTGTCTCAACGTCATCAAGGTAGCCACCCACCCACCCACCCACGCACCTACCTACCCACCTACCCACCCACCCACCCACCTACCCACCCACCCACCCACCCACCCACCCACCTACCCACCCACCCACCTACCCACCCACCCACCGACCCACCTACCCACCCACCCACCCACCTACCCACCCACCCACCTACCCACCCACCCACCTACCCACCCACCTACCCACCCACCCACCTACCTACCCACCTACCCACCCACCCACCCACCTACTCACACACCTACCTACCCACCCACCTACCCACCCACACACCTACCCACCCACACACCTACCCAACCCACCGACTACTGTACGTCGTGTAAACACGTGGTGAACATGTGTCTCAACGTCATCAAGGTACCCACCCACCCACCTACCTACCCACCCACCCACCTACCTACCCACCCACCTACCTACCCACCCACCCACCTACCTACCCACCCACCCACCGACTACTGTACGTCCTGTAAACACGTGGTGAACATGTGTCTCAACGTCATCAAGGTAGCCACCCTCCTACCTACCTACCTACCCACCCACCCACCTACTTACCCTCCTACCCACCTACCTACCTACCCACTCACAAACCCACCCACCTACCTACCCACTCACACACCCACCCACCTACCCACCCACCTACCCACCCACCTACCCACACACACCCACCTACCTACCTACCCACCTACCCACCCACCGACTACTGTACATCGTGTAAACACGTGGTGAACATGTGTCTCAACGTCATCAAGGTAGCCACCCACCCACCTACCCACCCACCCACACACACACACCCACCCACCCACCTACTCACACACCTACCTACCCACCCACCTACCCACCCACCCACCTATCCACCCACCCACCTACCCACCCACCCACACACACCCACCCACCCACCTACTCACACACCTACCTACCTACCCACCTACCCACCCACACACCTACCCACCCACCCACCTACCTACCCACCCACCCACACACACACACACCTACCCACCCACCCACCTACCCACCCACCTACCTACCCACCCACCCACCCACCTACCTACCCACCCACCCACCCACCTACTCACTTAGCTACCTACCCACCCACCTACCCACCCACCCACCTACCCACCCACACACCTACCCACCCACCCACCTACCTACCCACCCACCCACCTACCTACCCACCCACTTACTCACCCACCCACCTACCCACTTACCCACCTACCCAACTACCCACCCACCCACCTACTCACCCACCTAACCACCCACCTACCCACACACCCACCCACCTACCCACTCACCCACCCACCCACCTACCTACCTACCCACTTACCCACCCACCCACCTACCTACCCACCAACTACTGTACGTCGTGTAAACACGTGGTGAACATGTGTCTCAACGTCATCAAGGTACCCACCCACCCACCTACCTACCTACCCACCCACCTACCTACCCACCCACCCACCTACCTACCCACCCACCTACCCACCCACCGACTACTGTACGTCGTGTAAACACGTGGTGAACATGTGTCTCAACGTCATCAAGGTAGCCACCCTCCTACCCACCCACTCACACACCCACCCACCTACCCAGCCACCTACCCACCCACCGACTACTGTACGTCGTGTAAACACGTGGTG